CTAACACAGCACAAAGGTTCACAAGTTGTGCCAAAACCTCCACTGCAAATAAACTGCCTCCTCTTCTCCTGGCAGCGCCAGCATCCCACCACACAAAGAACAAACCTCCCACCCTACCCACTCCACCACCCCTCCCCACGCACATCGCAGGGCTCTCGGGCAGCACCTCTGAGATGAGACTGGAAGGAACAGCTTGCACAGGGAGTGGCAAACTTGGGATTTATTCCAAAAGCTTCATGTGGCTGTGAACAGTAATTTTCCCTAACTCCAGTCATACACTCTGCAGCATTTTCATGCCATGCAGAAACAAACCACGATATGGCCTATTTTAAAGAAAAAACAGTAATCCATAAGGAGCTATTTACATCAGAACTAAATATGCAAGAATAAAGAAAAAATATGATATTTAGTACTGAAAAGAGTTTATATCTGTCACCATGTATCCCCATACCAAGTGATCTTTTCTACTACACTGCAACCAGACTAGGAAAAACTACTGTTTCAAGTTTCTCAATGTGGTGCCATTTAAGAAGTATCTACTCACATATTTACAGCATTAACAGAATTTTTAAAACCTGCAAAGACTGCAAGACCATAAAATATTAATATATTAACTAAAAAATTAGATCAATGCAATATTGAAACAAATGCCACCCATCTTTTACCTAATAAAAGTATTCACTTTGCCCATAAAGGGTGCTTTTTACTACATGTCTTAGAAGTAATTAGAAAAAAATCTACATGAAATTTCAAGCAAATGAACTTGCTGTGTACCTAGCCAAGTGTTTCATGAATCTTAATACATGACATTTCACCTTTAGAATAAAGGCCGGAATCTTTCATAATTCATGAACTTGACACCAACTAAATCTATAATTTACCTTCACAAATCTTGATCAACAATATGGCTCTCTTTTTAAGTATCACCCTCCAGTTGTAAGTAATAAATTATCTTTACTCTCCAAATCATCTGTAACAAATACAACATCTAAAGAACATTTTTGAGGAAAAATATGCCAGTCACTGAGACGTGGCCCTCTCAGGTAGTTAGAAAAAGACCTACTGTACATGAGACAAAGCCAGCTTTGGAATGAAGCTTCTGCTACTTGAAGAGTCATGTAAACCATTCATGGGTGTTATTCATTACTCTGAGGTGGAATGAAAGGTGAAAATTATCCCTTAATTTATTAAGTCTTGGGAATGCTTAGGAACAGATAAATAATACTCAAGCCACAGTCAAGGACCCAACTCTGTTTACTAGACCACCTGCTTAAAGAATATCAGCTTTAAACATGTGAATTCTAAAAAATCCCACTTATTTTCTCACGTGTAATTCCTTACATAGCTAAAACTGTCAACCAAAAAAGTCTCTCTACAATACATGTTTCTTTAAGTTAAGCAAGAACGCTCAAATTTTTTTTCCACATGTTTAAATGACCAGTATTATACCTGCACTTCCAAGTCCAAGCCTATCCAAAAGAAACTCACCATTCTTTTGAAATAACCTTCAAAATACCATGGCTTCTGTTTGCAGGCAAGAAAAAGATAACTCTGGAAGGAAACATGCTGGTTTCCTTATCTCAACTCAGTAGTCATATTAACAGCTTCTGCAGTACTGCAACACAAACACTGGGTGACAGGATTAATGCACTGGCAAACGGCTGAACATACAGATAGCACATGAACTAGCTCAAGCTTAGATGCAATGAGAACCCTTTCAAATGGATGAATGAATGGTTAAATGAAAAAAAAAAGGAAGATCAGATACACACATTCCCATATGGTGTCAAAGTCACTGTAACCTTAAGAACTTCTTGAGAGACAGATGTAGCATTTTTAGTGGATAAGTGCTGTACCCCGTGCTGAAGGAACAAGCTGAGATAAAATCTCATATCCACAATTAAGAGTGTGAAGAAAATTAGGTTTATTTATTCCTCTCCTAGCACCAGAAGTCCAAGCTATTTCCTCAAAGTGAAAATCTTACTTCCCAAATGCCTCCTACCATCTGTCAAACAGTTTTAGCTGTTGTCAAGAAGCTTCTTATGCTACTATACCCGTTACATCTGCAACAGATTTCCTTCTTGTAGAGTACAGATGGGATTAAACACTGTTTTATAACAAATATAGCAAAATACTGCTCCAGATTTCAACTGTGTGCAATCCAGAACCAGTTACTCTGAATAAAACACTTTTAACATATCTGCTACTAATCAGTGGCCTATTATGAGCACTGTTTCCCAGACTTCACTTGCTGCATTTATAGAGTTCAACACTCTATACAGGGCTTCCTTTCAAAAGCCAATGTCAGCCCTCACAACATCAAGCTCCACCATGGTCTGAAATTACCAAAATGAGACAAATCACCAGAAAAGCATGCAATTTGCTGTTCCCATAAGCTGGACAAGCATATGTTTTAAGACAAAGCTACACAGCTGTTTCTACTGCATCTAAACTGGTGGGAGTTTCTTAGGCAGAGAAACTGCCTCCTTTGTTAGAAGCTAATTTATAAAAACATACCCAAATCAATGCAGATTCTTTAAGTCCAAGGTCCAAATTAGTCCACAAGGCAGCAACAATAGATCTCTCTACTACTTGTCAATACCATTAAGTATTTTTCCAAGTCAATAACAAATCTTTTCTAGTTTTTGGTTACTAGACCTTCTAGCACCTACAAAACTTGCACAAGTCACACTTGTCTCAATATTCACACATTCTCAAGAGAAGCAAGAGCCCTACAAAGCCCTTCACATTGCTCCAGCTTTAAACTCAGAGCATGATTCTCCACTTTGTATTAGTGGGAGAGGTGTAGGCGGCAAACAGAAGGAAGGGAACTATTTACCAGCTGAAGTTAAACACAGAGGATATCAACTTTACCCAAAAGACAAGAGAACAGCAAAAGAATCACTCAAGCAAAATTCAGAGATGGTCCTCTAAAATGAATCAAAGCATTGGGAAAAACATTTTTGGTCGCTGTCAGGTTTTTGGTTGAACTGGTTTTTTTCAAATGAAACAAAATTTTCAAATGACAAAGATTGTGCCCATCATTTCTTCTGCCTTAAACAAGATTTACTTCTGAACTGTATTACCATCAACCACCTGTTCTAATAGAAGATGATTATAACTGCTGTCTAACAAACCAGAAAAGATTAACTAATTCAACATCATTATGATCACATCAGAATACTGAGAGGGGGGGAAAAAGAAAACTACACAGTAAATGCAGTTCACTCAGGAAATAATCTAAAGGATGATTAAAAATACTGCTTAGAAGCAGTATTTTTAACTTCCACACCAATTCACCAAAACAGCCTAGGCAACGAACTACACTGCTTCACCCTTCCTGTGAAAACAGTGACTACACAAACAACTCCCTCAAAAAGCTTTCTGCCACTGCTCCTCCGCTTCCCAACTGTACATCTGCTGTAGAAGCAAGATCTTCATTAACAGCATAGTCTACTATGAAACACAATTTACCTGACCAAGATGTTCACATCACAGTTCAGAGGATAGGATCGCCAACGTCTGTGTTTATACTACTATAATTACGTTGCATAGACTGAGAAAAACCCACATGTGTTGGGAACAAGACTATGTTGTTTTCCACGGCTATCGCTATTTCTTCACTGAAGGTCTTTTTTTGTTTTTGTTTTCCCTCATTATTCTACATTTTGTTGAACAATAAAAACTGCTCTTCTGTGTTTAATCATAAATTTGAGTAATGTAGAGTTTGACACGTTCGTTAAAAAGAAACAAACAGAACTAAAACAAACCACATTGCTTGGCCCATTAGGAAGTTTTAAGTATATGACATTAAGTAAATTCTCCAACAAATTTATTTTCTGTTCTGAAGCAGAAGACCAAGAGACTAAGAGATAAGTTTTCTGACAGACAGCCTAAAGCAAGAGGAACTACACAGCACAGGAAGGGAGAAGGGAGAAAAGGCCCTTAGAAAACTCTGCTGCATGCTTCAGGAAACAGAATTTGTGGGAAATGCAGTGGGGAAGCAGGTGGTAAAGCAGTAATCAGTGAAGAGATGAAAGCCTAATAATTGACTCAACACAGTTCATTAAAGCTTGGCTGAGTGTTCTATGCAAAGACTTACTGGACAGAGAGGAGGCTGGGACACAACTTCACAGAATACAAAGTATGCATAGCTTTTTACTAGGTAGTTGCACAACCATTTATTTGAAAGTATAACAGCAGACCAGACAAAAGAAAATGCTAAGTGCTGCATCGTCACCTTAGCCCCTTCTCAATCACATCAACAGAATTTAAGAAAAGGCAATCTAAAAATGAGCCATCTTAAATAAACATCCCTTCCCCCAAATTATTCTCCTTTCATTTACGCATCTTATTTCTCTTTGGAGCAAAACCTGAGATAATGCAGCAAGAACAATTAAAAGAACAGGACCATTGAAGTCTGACTTTCTGTCCCAGTTCAGTTCCCTATAAAAAGTGCATGAGTCTGCAACATCATAATTCCTCCTTCTATTACAAAAGTTAACAAACGTCAACAAGCGTTTATAGAACACAGTTTGAGGTACTCTGGGGTTTACACATGCAGCAGAGATATAAGCTGGATAGACCTTTACCAAAAAGTCATTTTTAAACTAATTTGACAAAGCAGCATGTTTAAAAGTTATTCTTTTCCCTGACCCATGATTAAAGTAGAAAAAGGATTATGTCTTGAGAGGTCTAAGCTACATCAGCCTCGAAGTATTTGGTTTACTTAGAACATGAGTTTTAGAGTATTTTCCAAACTAAATGATTCTAAGACCTCCACAACTCTAGAATAGAAAAAATGAAAACAAAGAGGAGCCAAAGGGTCCACAAGTGACCACAATCACACATCTCTTTTTCCCCCAACTAGTTTCAATTCTGAAGCAGACAAATCAAATCAGCAGCTGGAAAGGAGGGCTCTACAGTCAGGTTTTGGAAAGCTGTATAATCAGAAAGCAAACCGCAAAGCTCAGGAGCTTTGACTAAAAACTAGCACTTACCTGAAACAACAAATTACCGCAGAAGTTTGCAGGGAATTCCAAAACACAACAGCACAGAGAAAACTTCACCAGTCCCTTCTACAGTTACTTGGTAGCCAACAATGCAACTATGTTCTTCTCATATTTTCCGCATCATTGAAAACCAGAACTGTATCAACTCCAAACTCTCATTCAACAGACCTGACAAAGACAAGTGGGAAGCCCTGCTCTTTACACGGTTCTGCGGCTGCCCATTATGCCCACTGTAGACTAACAACTCGGTACTAACTCCTGTCTTTTCCAAACTTCAAAACTGAGGTTGATAATTAACGAGCATTAGCAGGGTCCCGACTGCACTAACACTTTACAGATCAAACAGATTTATATTTCTTATGATTAAGTCGAAATGATTGAAGTTATGAAAGCCGCCAGATGAAAATCAACTCTTTTTAAAAGGTATCCTGATCCCAGTCCCAAGAACTCTGTTTTGGACAGTGCAGCACAAAACACGTTAGAAACAGTGACACACTGAACTGATGGCTTTCCTCCTTTCAGGAGACGAATTCAACAGCGCGCTGCTGTAACACACAGTTTGCGAACACCACTATTTCAGCAACGGTGTGAACCTCATCTGAACGATCACCGCGTTCGTTGAGCAAGACGCCCTTGGAGCCCAGTTTCTTTAGGAAACGAGCCATTTGCAAGGCCTGCTAACAGAGATGCAGAAGCGCGGCTGGCAGCGCCCCGGGACCGGGGACAGTAACTAGGCTTCGCTCCCCAGGGCACGGCGGCAGCGCAAGCTTATTTTCCCGGTGCGGGGGGAAGGAGGTTACGGGCAGTAACGGCAGCTACGTTTTAACTGCTTTAACGCCGCCGCTTCCAACGGCGGCTTGCCGGCGGTGGGCCCGGGGTGCACTCGCGGCATTGCCACAGCCGGCCCGTGGCTGCGGAGCCCCCGGCCGCGGTGCCCGGCTCCGCGGGGCCGTGCTGGCGGCCCGACACCGCACCGAGCGGCCGCAGCCCGCTCAGCCTCGCCCGCGGGACCCCGCCGAGCCCTCCGGGCTCCCAGCAGCACCCACCGGGCCCGGCGCTACCGGAGACTCCCGGGGCTCCCAGCAAGCCCCTCCCGCCCGGCAGCCGGGGGAGGAGGCACGCACGGCAGCGCGGCCCCGGCGGGGAACCGGGTGGCACCGTGGCACACGCCCCCCGCCTGCCGTCCGCAGCCGCGGTCGCTGCGGCGCTACCCCGGAGCCACCGCTGCCCTCACCTCTGCCCGCAGCACGTCCGGCGGGAGGCGCGGAGGGGAGCCCGGCCTGGGCGGGCGGGCAGGACCCCTCCTCTGCAGGCGCGGGCTGCGCTGCCCCGCGCGGCACAGAGCGCTCCCGCTGCTGCCGCCGCGGCCCCGCCCGGTCGCCGCCTGATCCGCTCATCCGCCGCGGCGGGAGGCGCGCGCGCAGGCCCGGGAGGCGGCCAAGGAAATCCCGTCTGTGCGGGGCTGGGCACCGCTGGGAACCGCCGCAGCCCGGGAATGGGCCCGGGAGGCGCCGAAAGAAATCCCGTCTGTGCGGGGCTGGGCACCGCTGGGAACCGCCGCAGCCCGGGAATGGGCCCGGGAGGCGCCGAAAGAAATCCCGTCTGTGCGGGGCTGGGCCGCCGCTGGGAACGCGGGCCGCGCAGCGTGCGGGAAAAGCACGGGCTCGCGTGGCACGCCGGCGCTTAACATCCCCCAGCCTGGTGTTGCGGGATAACTTAGGCAGCGGAAAAGTAGGAACAATGGAAATAAAATGCGCTCTGAAGCATGCCCGAAAAACTTGCAAGACGTAGTCTCAGATTAAAATCACAACGGGAAAGCCGCATAGTTTTTTTCCTTTTTTTTTTTTTTTTAATCACCTCAAAATATGACTTCTCGGAATAATAAAATCAGTTAGGTTGGAAAAGACCTCCGAGGTCATCGAATCCAACCTGTGACCCAACACCACCATGTCAATTAGACCATGGCACTAAGTGCCACATCCAGTCTTTTCTTAAACACCTTCTCGGCCAGCCCACTTCCATGTTTAATCACCCTTTCTATGGAGAAATCCTTCCTAATGTCCAACTTAAACCTTTCCTGCTGCAGCTTAAGGCTGTGTCCTTTCGTCTTGTTGCTGGCTGCCTGGGAGGAGAGACTGACCCTCACCTGGCTACATTCTCCTTTCAGGGAGATAGAGACAGCAATCATGTTACCTCCTCTTCTAGCACTTTTAAACACATCCTTGGTAATAAGAACCACCATGAGCAGCTTACATATATTACTGTATTTCTAGTAACATCAGCATGTACCTCACGTTGTTATCACCTGCCAGTTGACAGTGCTGAACACAGATGCTAAATGCAGAGCACCTTCACTTACTTCAAGGGAAGGTACTGTCAGTGCATTCAGAAGATATCTGGCACTTTCAGCACTGACCCCCAACGAATGACGCAGAAAAGTTGACACTTTGAATTAATGTTTCCAACTCCAGAAATAAATCTTTTTGCTCCATCCAATTTTCATAAAATCATCTGCTGTATCTCAATTATGCAGCAGTGTGACTAGGAGTCCATTATCTTGGGCTAATGTTCCACTCACAATCTTTTCATTCTGTTTCTTGGAACCAGAATTAATTAAAAGGCTGACTATTCTTCCCTCAGTACTTTTTAATGCTTCTGTAGAAAGATATGTATATATTCCTGGCTGTGGAAGATGGCTTTGTCTTCTCAGCAATGAGTTATAAAATGTTGAATAATACAGAGAACATATCTAATGATGAAAACAAAATTGAAGTTTCTTTGTACAAAGCTTTTTATAATTAAACAATACTTCTTCCAAAGGAGGGCTCTGGAATGAGATAATTCACTCTGACAAGAGCCACTCACCCAGCCTTTCTTACTGTGCAGCTTTAATTCACAAGGGTGGTTGCAGTCTACAGAACAGAGTGAGCCTAGCTTTGGGAAGCAGTCCTGCGCATGTGTGCAGTTCATGACTCATTTATGTCTTGCCTTGTGACACAGCAGTGATTTCAAAGCTATTTTCAAGGACACCGTATTTCACACTTTAGCACTTCAGGAGCTCCACAAAAAACGTAGAATTCTTCAAGTCAGGCTAAACACTCATGGATGGGTCACAGTTTCAGATATACAAAGTATGTGATATCAGGCTGTTGTGTGCAGCTGAGTGAGTATGCCAGGTGAATCCACACTATGCTTGTTACTTCTCCTGGAGGGCACTGGTAAACTCTTGTTACTTATTCCTCAAAGTGCTTTCCTGGCTTTATAGAGTTCTTATATTCTTGCCTGAGACAGAAGTGGGAGGCTGGCAGCACACCAGAGTAGCAAGAGTTTGTGCAGAACTCAAGCCTCTCCTCACAGGGCTTACGCTGAGTAATAGGCATGCTGATGCTTTCATGGGTTGCACAATGCTGAATTATGCCTCGTATATTTTTCATTAAAGGATCTCTTACAGGGAAAATGGAGGTGAAATGCCCTTGAAGTATCACAGCTTCAGATCTGAGGACACAGAGAACTAATGAGTAGCAGGAATTGTACCTCACTCCTTAGGATTGTCAGGTGGAGAAAATACTTAACTATCACCACAAATACAGAGAATCATAGATGGTTTGGGTTGGAAGGGACCTTTAAAGGTCATCTAGTCCAAACTCCCTCCCAAGTGCAGGGATACTTCCACCTAGACCAGGCTGCTCACAGCCCCATCCAACATGGTCTTGAATGCTTACAGGGATGAGGCATCAGCCACCTCTCCAGACAACCTGTTCCAGTCTTTTACCACCCTTCATTGTAAGGGATTTCTTTCTTATATCTCGTCTGATTCTGCCCTCATTCAGTTTAAATCCATTCCCCTTCATCCTATCACCACACACTCTTATAAAAAGTCTTTTCCCTGCTTTCTTGTTGGTCCCCATTTAGGTACTGGAAGGTGCCATAAGATCCCCTGAGCCTTCTCTTCCCCATACTGAGCAGCCCCAACTCTCACAGCCTCATAGGAGATGTGCTCCATGCCTCTAATCCTCTTCATGGCCTTCCTCTGGATTTTTTTCAGCAGATCCAGATCCTTCTTATGCTGCAGATCCCAGAGCTGGGTGCTCTGGACTAGGAAAAACATTTGCCTGCCCTGTATACATCTGTGACCAGGAACAAAAACATGAAGCCCACAGCTAGCAGAATAATATAATTATCTAATTTTTTTTTTCCTGTAGAAACACTAGAATTACCAAGCTTGATAATAGGAGGATCAGAAAAAGGATGTGAAAACTGCTCCATGAAAGGGGAGAAGCTGCTTTCCATCTTTGATATAGGCTTTTACTTAGGGCATATTTCCAAGCCATTTAAAATAGCGGGGATTCAAGTAACTTAAAGGAGGATCTGATGTTTGAGGTTGTTAGGGAATAGCAAGGACAGGACTGTTCCCAAAGGGAAATGTGAGTGGGGAGCCAAAATTGATAACATACCTGTCAGGGCAGGTACCTCACCATCCAGGACCTGCTCTCCCATTCAGTAGAGACAGACAAACCTGAGACAGTCACCGTCAGCCCGAAGTCCACATCATAAGGCAACATCATACTGAAGAGAGAAATGCAAGGTGAAGCCACCAGTAAAACCCCTTAGTTGTGTTTAGGATGAGGTCCAGCAACCACCACGGCAACAAGACCAGGCTGACTTCAAGTCAGACCAGAGGCTGAAGCTTGAATCAAGACATATCTCATGTATCTCACAGACTGAATACTGTTCTAACACAGCTCAAGCAAGGAGCAAGGGCCCTGGGCTGTGCTTAAATAGAGCTCTTAGGCCTATGGGTATAAGTAGAACTGCAGATGAGGCTGCTCAGAGCCATTAAGACTCATTAGTGCACTCAGGACCACAAAGAGTTCATCTGGTCCCTTTTTTCCTTACAGAATAAAATTTGCAATAATATATTGAAGCAAGCTTTTCACCTCTGCTACCCACAGCTGCTCCTTTCTGACTCAGCTCTTGTGAAAGGAGGGGTGAAATGGTGACAGAAGAGCTGTGTGCTAGACATGAAGCTGAGCCGCAGGAAGAACAACTTCCACCTGGAGTGTGGGAGCTTCTGGCAGTGCTGCCATCTCAAGGTTCTTTCCCAAGAGCATCTGTTCTCAGAAAACAAGATAAAATACTTCAGAGTTGAAGGTGAGCAACAAAAAGGCAGAGTGTTTTGTTTTGTGGTTGTGCATATCTTTGATTATGATATGCACGTGATTAGGGCTGGTAGATGCTATAAGAACACAAACAAGCTCTGTTTAAAAAGAAGATAAGAAAATGTGCATTATTCTTAGATAACCTGCTTGCAGAGTCCCTAGAGGATATTCATTGTAATCCTGCTGGGTGTTGTCTTATTATCTAGTGTTAACACACACCACATGGGGCTTTACTGGTAGAGAAAAACAAAGACTAAAAGCAACAGCAGCGTCTGAAGTAAAGTGAGAATTCTGCAGTCCTGGCAAGGGAGACTTCTGCACACACTCACTTTATTTTTTGGTTTTTTTCTGAAGTGGATACTAGTTTCTTGTCACATCTACAGGTGTAGAGACCTCTGACAAGATGGGGAAAATGAACAAAACCAGAAAGAAAACCCTAAAAGTACTATAATACAGCAGTTTTGTGTTTTCAGGAAAGCTGTCTTCCATGCTCTTCCTGGAAGTTTCAGCTTCCAACATCTGTCAAAGAGAACAGAGGGTTTAGTTATCAGCTTAAAAAAATCCTTTTTAGTAAAAGTTGAAATTGGGACCTTTGTTCTAATTAACAAGACTTGGTTTTAATTAAAAAGCAGCAGGGGCTTGGCAAAGAAGCAAAAAACTTTGTAGGTAAATGCTCACTTAGAGTGGTTTTAGCCTGTTCTGTTGGAAAGAAGCTCAGTTTTGGGTCCCTCCTTTATGGGAGAGCCTTAATGCTGCTGATAGAGCCATCAGCTCTGTGGCCTCTGAGCTCTTGTGGCCTCACTGCACAGATTCGTATTTTGGAGCAATTATCTGCATTCTGACATTAGTGAAGTTAGAATTTTAATTAAAATCGGAATGGATTATTATTGGGTGGTAAGTACATAATATGTGGTAGGAAACAATGTTTAGCAGTAGCCTTTTTATCACTGAGTTGGTAATGCACAGTTGGTTTAGAACAAATGTTTTGAAGTTTTAAAACCACTGATATTGCTAATGATTTGAGTCTCTAATTTAAAGCCAGCACGTTTATGCTAATTAAAAATGAGATTAAAATATTTCCACTTTGATTCTAAAAGCTGTATGGCAGGTATCTCAAGTATTTCTTATTTACACTGCAGTAATTCTCACTGTCTTCAATTTCTTCACAGTTATGAATGCTATCCTTAGGAAATCACTTTTGCTGAGGTAATCCATCA